TATATATATATATATATATATATAAGATTGTGTAGTCACTCCCGTCACTCGGTGGTTATTTTAACGACATTCTTCTTGGTTGTATTAAATCGTTTTAGTTTATAAACAGTTCCTGTCAACGGTATCTAAAGGCAGGAATGTGCTAACACAAATACCGGAGTAAAACCTGCTTGGCATGCGGGGCCCCGTTGTTGCCGAGTCGGGTAAAGTCAGAGTGGGGCTAGCGACGAGCTTACACCAGGCATTCTTAAAATACCAAAACCTAAAGCTTTACGCCGGATCCCTTGGCAACCAAGAACATTCCTGTCCGCTGATGTTTCTTATATCAGAATCTCAGCTTCGCCGGTGCAGAACCAACACGCTACTCAATCCCAGTTTTCAGCTCGATACAAATGTTTTTCAGGTAATATATTTCATCAAATTAACACACCTTTTCTGGGGTAAAAAACCAGAGTAATTTTATTATTCTGACTTAGTTTTGAATGACATCTAAACAGCCATTCCGAATAAGAACCAGAATTTTAAGCGTGTGTAATTCGCCTTTTTTAAACACACAGGCTACAGATGATTGGTGAGAGAGAAAAAAAAAGATCGCTGTCTTGTTAAAATTTTCTAGTGAGGTTACTAATTATACACGGTGCCCGAAAATTATGTTAATAAAGTTATGAGCATAAATAGCTAACTTTGTTAACGTATTTTCCGGACATTGTGTTTATATGTAATTTCCAAGTACGGGAAGGAAGACACAAGAAACTTAACTAACAAGTCACTAGTAGTGAATTACGCAGAATTTTAGGACCCTCGGCTGCGAAAAAGTAAAAACTTGGCCGAAAAAAAAAACAATTATGAAACATATAATCGAAAAAGCGCAATAGTAATTATTAGTAAACAGTTTAACTGATTTCAACACAACATGGTAATTATTAGTAAACAGTTTAACTGATTTCAACACAACATAGTAATTATTAGTAAACAGTTTAGCTACACTAGTTGAGCTGATTTCAACACAACATAGTAATTATTAGTAAACAGTTTAGCTACACTAGTTGAGCTGATTTCAACACAACATAGTAATTATTAGTAAACAGTTTAGCTACACTAGTTGAGCTGATTTCAACACAACATAGTAATTATTAGTAAACAGTTTAGAACGGGTATCGAAACCTGATTTGTAGCGTTATAGGTCAAATGACTTACCGCTGAGACACTGGGGACAATAAAATAAGACACGAGGAAAATCACCGGTGTGATTTATTTAGTGAAAACATTACTCATCATAAAAACAATGACACTAGCTCCACCTGGTGTCTACGACAACGACAAAATAACTATAATAAAAAAAACACAATACTGCTTTATTTTCGTACCAATTTTTTGGCACAGAGACAATAACTCTATAAAAAAAATTGACAAAAGAGCCACCTACCGTATAATAACTGCACTATTTTTACTGAAGAATTTATGATATAATTTATAAGTATATTTAAAGGCTTCTTCTACGAGAGTAACTTAAACCCATTAGTTACAGTAAATTCCCCCCTTTTCTCTGTTGCATTTTACATAAGCAAACACTATTTCCTGACTTTATAAGATGAAAGAGCAGAGGGAGTTAAGTCAGTGGTGGGTAAGGGACTGATAACAACGAAGCTCTGGTCAAGTCTGATAACGTACTTGGAGTGCCAGGAAAGTCTACCTGCTACCAAACTTAACTACCTATATAAATACACACAAACAGTCGGAGGTAGCCTGTAACTTGTCAGCCCTATATATATATATATATATATATATATAT